ATATAAATATATATATATATATATATATATATATATATATATATATATATATATATATATATGTATATATATATATATATATATATATATATATATATATATATATATATATATATATATATATATAATATATATATATATATTAGGGGTGCACCGATGCCTACTTTTGGCTAATGCCAATTGGTAAAGGCATTTGGATATATTATAGAATTATACATTTGAATGGAAATGCCACATTCCATGCATGTGATAATGAAAGTAACATTGTAAAATTGTTATTGTTGAAGTTTATTTTCCATTTATTTTTTTATTATTCTCTAGATAATGAGAGCAATTACTTTAATTGAAAAGCTCGTATATATATATATATATATATATATATATATATATATATATATATATATATATATATATATATATATATATATATATATATATATATATATATATATATATATATATATATATATGTATATATATATATTTATATAAGTAAATGATTTTTATTTGCTTTAAATTAATCTGCTAGCTTTTGTTAAACCTATTAAAATAAATAATTGCTGAGTAACAGCTATTACGCGCTAGTAAATGACCGAGGTTGATATTTGATTGGAGCCAGGGCCAAATTTGATAAAATATAGCCGAGCTGCATAAACATTTATGCATCCTAAAATATATATTTTTAATGATCAACATGATCATCATAATCATCATTATTATCATGATGATGATGCTGATCATCATTGTTATGACCATGATCATCAACAGCATAAAAGAGGAAGGCTAAAACCTGATGAGGATGATCATGATCATAATCATCATCACCATCATGATGATGATCATCACTATCATCATCATCGTCATCATCAGGCTTTAGCTTTCCCTTTTTTTTGCTGTTTCTCTAATATAAACATTCTATAGCATTTTTTTTTCTTAACTAAAGCTCATTCATACAATATGTAAGACACTCTCTCCAAGTTTTCTTACTTCTACCACTACCATTTTCTACTGGAGCTGCTACCTCTCTACATGCTGATACCTAAATTACTTTAATCTTTTTTAACAAACATTTTTTGATACAAATTTTTCTAATTTGTCTAAGATTATGCCTCCTTTTCTTGTCTTGCTAGAGTCATACCACACATCCATCTGATCATCTTCTCTTCTGGCAAATACTACATTGTATAAATACTAAAATTTTTATACTCCACTGCAATTTATTCAGTGCATCTTGGAAGCTTTTATTCGTTCTGGAATAAAAGTTTGAAAACTTTTATTACTTCAAGAATAACTTTACTACTGCAGTTAGAAAGAAATAATTTAATAACCTTAAAACCTTTATATAAAGAAATTAATAAGAGTGAAGACAAATCATAGGATAGTTGGAGAGGTCAAAGTATTTTCTAGAGTATTAAAAAATTGGAACCACTTGTTAAGCATTTTTTAAAAGTTTAGCAAAAATTGAAGAGAATTCTGGAGAACAATTTTTTAAGATTATGTTGGAAATGTATTATGGAGCACAAACTGTAGAAGTATTTAATTGAGAATTAACTTAAGCATTGAAAGCCAGATTTTGATGTTTAACAATGGGTTAATCTACTTAACTGTCAGGAATAGGATGGCCACTATTCAAGTGTCAAATTAGAATAAGATTTCTTTGCAAAAAACTCTGCCCTATTTTGGGGAGAACTTCTATTCTTTATATATATATATATATATATATATATATATATATATATATATATATATATATATATATATATATATATATATATATATATATATATATATATATATATATATATATATATATATATATAATATATATATATATATAAATATATATATATATATATATATATATATATATATATATATATATATATATATATATATATGTATATATATATATTGCAACGGATTTGATCATATTTGCAACGGATTTGATATAAGGTTTCCAAGAAAGATCAGAAGTAAGAGTTAATCCTAGAAGATGAAGGGTAGGAGACTCATCGAGTACATTACCGTTCATAAATATAGGAAGGTCTAAACTATTGCGATAACGATTGGCCAAAATAAATTGAGTTTTATCTGAATTAAAGTTCACCAGCCACTGTGAGCCCCATGCTGTAGCATAAGTGAGATCATTTTCAAGCTCAGATGCCCCCTGCAAGCAATCAGAGGGAGTTGGCTTCTTATCGTGAAAAGAATAAATGGTAGTATCATCAGCGAACAATGCCATTTTTGATGTGAGAATATCTGGAAGATCGTTAATGTAAATTAAAAAGAGTATAGGGCCAAGGATTGAACCTTGAGGAACCCCTGAGGTTACAGAATAATAAGAAGAGTGCTGTCCATCAAGGACAACTTTTATACTACGATTGGAAAGGAAGGATTCAATAATCTTAAAGATGTTTCCAGATACACCATAAGAAGAAAGCTTATGGAGAAGACCAGCATGCCAAACTTTATCAAACGCTTTAGAAATGTCAAGAGCAATGGCCTTAACCTCTCCACTTTTATCTAATGCGCGATAAAACCTATCGGTTATTACTGATAGCAAATCAGCTGTAGAACGAGAAGATCGAAATCCATATTGATGATCAGAAAGTAGGTTATGAGATTCGAGATGAGAGATTAAGTTTTTGTTAATTAAAGATTCAGAAACCTTGCTTATGATAGGAAGAAGACTAATGGGACAGTAGTTAGACGAATCGGATCGCTCTCCAGAATTTTTAAAAATAGGGATAACAGATGCTGCTTTCCAGCAGGCTGGAAAACAAGACTCTGATAAGCACTTGTTAAATAGTTTTGAAAGGATAGACGACAGCTCCAGAGAACACTTCTGCAAGACTATAACAGGTATGTTGTCCGGGTCGCAAGCTGTAGAAGAGTCTAAGCAGGAAATCACTTTAGATACAGAAGCTGGAGTGATACGAATGTCGAGCAATGGATCAACCTGTTTGACGGCTATATCAAGTAGAACGCAACTAGTGGCATCAAGAGATGATATTGATGAAAAGTTTTTGCCAAACAATTCAGGTTTGTCTTTAGGTGAGGTGACAAAGTCTGAACTATACAAAAGAGGTGGAATTACAGACTTGCCCTTATTATTGATACTATTAAGGATTCTCCAGAAGTCACGAGAGCCTAACTTTTGTGATGAAATACGAGATTTCATGATCTGAGAATAGCGGGTTTTGGCGTTAGACAAAATCTTTTTACAATGGTTCCTAGCAATAATAAAGAGACGTCTGTTTTCTGCAGAATTGTTTTGCTGATAGATATGGAAGTAATAGTTTCGATTGGCAATTGCAGCAGCACAATGCGAGGAAAACCGTGGAGAAGAGTGAGGCTTGACCTGGAATCGTCGAGAGGGAATAAAGGATTCCATGCCAGCCTGAATCCAAGAAGTTATGTAAGAAGCACATTTGTCAACTGGGAGACGAAAGATTTCTACCCAGGGGCCATCACGAAGAAAGTCACGGAAAGAGTCCCAGTCAGTTTTAAGGTAGTTGAAAGATGTACGATGATAGGGGGATTCTGATGGTAAAAAAGAATAAGATAATAGTTTTAGAGAGACCAAACCATGATCAGACGCACCTAAGGGTGAGTGTGAAGAAACTGAGCACTGACTAGGATCAGAAACAAGACATAAGTCGAGTAGAGAAGGTAAATGATTTGGGTTGTCTGGAAAGCGAGTTGGAAAGTTTACTATTTGAGTTAGGGATTGAGAAAGACAAAAGTTGTGGGCCTTAATGCCTGCAGAGTCACTGACACTAGAGCCAAGCCATTCAGTGTGATGAACATTAAAGTCAGCGACAACATAAATATTGGCTGATGGATAAATAATGAGAGCTTGGTCAATATAATCAGAAATAACATCAAGAAGAGTGCAGTCTTGAGATGAGAGAGAACAATATAGAACAAAGAGAAAGGTGATAGAGTGAAGTGGTGCTAAATGAAAGCACATAAAAGAGTAGTCTGTGGATTCAAACCTAGTTTCCCGACAAATGGGTGAATTCTTACGAATGTAAATGCCCAGGCCAAGCATGTGACTATTGGAGTCTTTACGAATTAAAGGAAGATAACCATCAACACTAAGATCACAAGATGAGACAGCTGAACTCAAATTAGTCTCACAAAGAGCAAGTAGGTCTGGTGAACTTTGCAAGAGATAAGACTCAACAGAAGAAAAGTTACTTCGAAGACCAGGAATATTGGTGAATGATAGGTTTAGCAAACTTGGTGATGACTGTGGTTTTTTGTGTTTTATAGTTTTTGTTACTTTATTCATTTTTAAATTTGTTAAAGAACTTGACTCGAAACATAGATAGCACTCAGTACACTGTCTTATAGCCCAAGCAATTGTCTCATTTCCACTAATAAACCCTAAGCTGTAACAAAGGGCTCCAATGTAGCCTTGGCAATGCACACCAAAAGTACAAACAGGGACACCATCCATGTGCAACATGGCACTGTTAGTACTCTGATATTTTTCAGCTGTTGGTATATATATATATATATATATATATATATATATATATATATATATATAATTATAAATAAAAAAGAAAAAAAAATTATTATAGAACTTCCTGTTTTAATTATGGAGTTTCATGTGTAAAGGCAGTTATCTGCCATATTTCTTATTTATTTTTAATATTTCTGTTTCGAAATTTATATATAAAAAAAATATGTTTCATTTGTATTGAGGGTTTTCTATGAACATTATCTGCAATATTTTCTCACTTTTTTATTTGTTATTTTGTTCACTCATAACTGTGTGATTAATTTTTTATGTTTCAAGATTGAATTTTTTAAAAATGATTTAAAACTTAAAGTTACAACTTTTGTTTTTTATTGTAATAATTAATTTAATTATGTTTTTAAATTTATTTATATATATATATATATATATATATATATATATATATATATATATATATATATATATATATATATATATATATATATATATATATATATATATATATATAATACAGGGAAAAACAATTAGTCTAAAAATGTTATTTGGATCAGTCAGATATACTAAATTTCGTATTTGAGACAAATGTAACAATTACAGAATGGCAAGTGTTCAGTGGGTGTTTAACTTTGCTAATGCAATTCTAGGAGTCAGTTTGCTAGCATTACCTTATTGTTTCAAAGAAGTTGGTATATTTTTATATAATCATTGTTTACATTTTTAAATTTTTAAAATAATGATAACCTAAATTTATTTTAATTAGTTATATAACATTAACCCTTTCCTGACAAGTGACCACACTTTGGTTCATAAGATTTTTTCTTAATTGTCAAAAATTGTTTGTTAATTGCATTTATACATAGGTGAGTTTATTCTAGGAATTGCTAAAATTTCGGAAATTCACTTAAAACTCCTTTAATTTTCCAGAAATTTCAGGATGTTTTTTGTTATTAATTTGAAAAAAATTATATAAAATTTTAAATACAACAACGTTAGCATTTAAACAAATATGTTCTCACGAGATCAGTTTTCATAACAGTTTTTTTTTCTTTTCTTTTTTCCTGTTGTTCTTCTTATTTTTTTCTTATCATTAATTCATTCAAATTAACTTTTTCGAATATTAGAAATTCCTTTTTGTAAAAAGTTAAATAATCTAAATTCCATTTTAAAAGTTCACAAAAGTTTTTGTTGTCAATTAATACGATGAAAAAGAAAAAATTATAAAATGGAAGTTAAGAGTTTGTCTGACCATTCTGAGATAGACAAAAATATTAAAAACAAGTTCCTCTGGAAATTGCTTCAAGAGAAAGATAATAGTGAAGAGTGTTATTCAGCCTATATAAGAAAGATAGATGGAGCTTATCTATCTTTCTTATATACATTTTTATTATATAAATTCAATGAAGAAAAAAAAGATTGCCTCATATGAACAGTGCAAAACAATTAAAGAATCTATTAATCATGCAAAAAATTGCAGAAAAATATAAGCTGATGAATGTTTTGCAGCAGAAAGTTATAAAAATAAAAAGTAATAATTTCTGAACCATTGTCTGATATTTTTTTATATATATATATTTTTATATAAGTAAATAAATTATTACGCTTTAGAGGTTGTTTTTGGTAAAAGTTAATTATTATATTTGATTTTAGAGAATTTTAGAGAAACATAATTATTCAGTAGTTTTTAGTTACTTTAATTATCCCTAAATCAACGCTCCAGAATTTACACACATACCTTTGTAAATTTGTTGATCCTATAATTTTCTGGAATTTTTATTAAAATAATTTCACTAGATTTTTCCGAGATTTTCATAGAAAAAAAATTCCATAATTTTCATTAGGTTAAAAACTCATCCTTGTTTATAGATCGCTTTAAATTTATAGTTAAAACGATATATATTACAATTAAGAAAAATGTCTAAAAATAATATAAATTATACTGTGATATAAATGAGATCTTTGATTTTTTGTTTTAATAATAGTTTTGGTGATAACAATATTGATCTTAGTACCTCTTGTGAATATGAAATTATTTTAGAATGCATAACCAAGAACTACCTTTGTCTTTTGATTTTCCCGTTGTTAGTTTTTACCGTTACCATCCATTAAAATTACCCCTAAAAATTAAAGTTTTTTTGTGATATTTTTGCATATATTCAAGTCACTGTTTTGCAAGCAAACAGTGACTTGAATATAGAATTTAAGTCTGAAAAGAAAATTTATGAAAAATCATTTGCTTACATGAATCTGAAAATGAAATTTAAAATCAATTTTATTAACAATTTTTTATTATGGGAAAGTACCCCATTTTTAGGTATCTATATGAAAAGCTAAACATTTGACTAGACTATCAATTTTTTTGTTTTTTTTGTTTGATCACCACTAAAAATGCCTATTTGTTTATCTTATTTAGTATCAAAAACAATATGTTTGTTTAAAAATATATATTTTTGTTTATTTGATAACCAAGGTAATAGAAAATATTTTCAAATTTTTTAATATCCTGAAAGCCAATTTTCTGACAAAGAAAACAAGGTCTTATTTGCAAAATTCTGGCTAGTAGTTTTTTCTTTTATACTCTTTTAACTGATTATGATCTAAATTCATTATTTTATAAGCAGTCATATAGCTGTTTTTACATCCGTCATGAACAAGTTAAACCTTTTTTTTTTCTTTTAATATTTTAATATATATGTCTAGAAAAGTATCATTATCATTATCATTATGTATAAGCAGCTTTCAGTGAAAATTTCAGCTCTCTCAAAGTTAACTCTGATAGAAAAAAGTTTTTTTTAGGCAGTATCTATGTAAATGTATTTTTTCCTTTTAAAAGAAACAAGTAAGGAGCGAAGAGAGTAAGAGGGTTGAAGAATCCAAACTCTAAAAAGTTAACCTTTTATAACGGTTAAAGTTTAGTTTTTAAAATGTTATTTAAAAAAATAAACAATTTTACTGACTTGTTTTGGTATAGTAATATACCTAAAAATGAGTGTTAACTTTTGAGGATGACTTTATTGAAGAGTTAAAAAAAGATGATTTGATTCTCTCAAATAATTTCCCAGATACACTAATATGAACCAAGCTTATGGAGAAGACCAGCATGTCAAGCTTTATCAAAAGTTTTAAGTATGTTAAGTGCAATAGCCTTTGACATACTTAAAGCCCGCAATAATACCCAATGCACGATAAATATTTCTTTTTGAGCAGTTAGCAAGTCAGCCGTAAAAAGAGAAAATCAAAAACCATATTCATTGTCAGAGAATAAGTTATTTGACTTGAATTGAAACATTAAAAATTTGTTGATTAAAACTGAAAAACCTTGCTAGTAATAGAGATGGGATGATAGTTGGTGCAGTCAGAATGTTCTCCAGAGTTTTTAAAAATTGGAATCGCAGATGCCATTTTCCAAGAGGCAGGAGAATAAGATTCAGTCAAGTGCTTATTAAATAGAGTGAAGAGAATTGAAGAGTGTTCTGGAGAATTTTTAAAAAAAAACTATGACAGGAATGGTAAGAAGAATATGGCCATACAATTCAAGAGTCAAATTAGATGTAAAGCAAGTAGTTCTGTCTTGTCCTTGGAAGAGGTAGCCTTGTCCTTGGAAAAGATATTAAGATTAACCCCATGATATAAAGATGAAATGTTTGACTTAGTGACACTGTTGAAGATTTTCCAAAAGTCTCTAGAGCCTAACTTCTGAGATAAGATACAAGATTTATTAAACTGGGAATAATGGAGCTTACATCAGGCGGCATCTTTTTACATTTTTTTCTTGCAGTAATAAATAGGCATTTTTTCTCAAGAGAGTTTTTTTTTAAAATAGGTTGAAAAAAAAAAAGATTACCATAAGATTTAGCAGCTGCATCAACGGTGAAAACCATACAGTAGAACAAGGCTTAAGTTGGGATCAACAAGAAGTAAAAATGATTCCATAGCTGCTAGATGGTTGTGTAAGAGGAACATTTATCAATGGGAAAAGATTAAAGATGTCAACTTAAAAATTAGTTTAGGGTAGTAGTAAGTTGTTCAATGATAGTTTAGTCCGAGAAGAAGTACAAGATAAAAGATTTATAGAGATCATTGCATGATTGGAATTACCTAAAGGAGAACAAAAAGAAACTGAACACAAGTTATAGTCATAGAAAACACGCAAATCAAGTAGTGAAGGTAAATGATTTGCTGTCTGATAAAAAAATAGCAAAAATAATCTGAGTAAGAGATTGAGAAAGTTACAAGTGTTAGAACTGACAAGTGGTGTTAGAACCAAGCCATTCAGTGTGATGAGGATAACAGTCACCAAAAATATCAATATTAGTAGAGGGGTAAAGGGAAAGGGCATAGTCAATATGATTAGAAGTTACTAAAAGAGTGCAGTCTTAAGAAGAAGGAGGATGACAAAGAACAAAGGCAAAAGGTGATAGAGTGAAGAGGTGATAAGTGGAAACACACAAAAAAAATGGTCAGATAATTCAAACCTGATTTCTTTACAGATAAGTGAATTGATGCATTTGTGTGCTCCAAGCCAAATATATGACTATTAGAATCAATACTGAGGAATTAGTCTCACAAAGAACAATCAGGTCTGGTAAATTTTGCTTGAGGTAAGATTTAACTAATGGAAGGTTACTTCAAAGACCATGAATATTTTCGAAAGATGTATTGAAACAATTAGGTGGTGGCCATAGATTTTACTTTTAATATTTTTGGTTACTTTAGGCATGGTTTAAGTTAAAGAAAACTTGACTCATAAAAAGAGAGTGGTGTCCTAAACAATCAGCTTTGCAGTTGTTTCAGTGCTGCTAATTAACTTAGAGTTGTAACTTAGGGCTTCTAATGTGGTCTTAAAAATGTACACTAAAAGCTCTAACAGGGATACAATCTATGCTTAATATGGCACTGTTAATACTCTGATATTTTACAGCTATTGATGGAATCAGGGTCTCTGAGCTATAAATTGCAAAACGCAAATTTAAACTTATAGGCAAAAGATAAAGGATTAAAAGTTTTCTCTCATAGAGACTTTAATTAAACTAAGTATATAAACAACCTTTCAAGTCTAGCGAAAACTGCTGCGCTAAAGAGAAAAATGATCTTAAATTTTCTTAATAAGTTTTGCGTTACAGTTTATGGACGATCCCTAAGCACTTGTTAAATAGTTTAAATTCAGTTAAGCACTTGTTAAATAGTTCAGAGAGTGCATTAGTTTTTTTCTGTTTATTAGCATTGACAACAAATGTGTAATCAGTACATCATTAGTAAAAATGCTTTGAGCCATCTGTCATATTAACTTAATTACTTTAATAACTTTTATGACGCCCTCTGTGGAATATTAAATATTTTACTTTTAAGTTACTTTTAAAATGTGATCTGTCCAATTATTTTAAATATTAATTCAATTAAAGGTTACTCTTTATCTCCTTATCTATGATCTAGAGAGGATATCTTGTTAACAAATATCTATAAAAAGAACTATTATTGAAATAGGGAGGAGGGGTTTCACATTCCCATCACTTTTAACTACAATCTATATTTTCACTTAATGCTTTTATGGTAGCAAAGAATATATACATACATATACATAATGTGTGTATATATATTAGTGTAAGTTTTTATTTTTTTCAAAATACAAAAAGCTCTTCTAGAAAATGTTGAAATAACAGAAAATTAAAAAGCCATTTAAATTTTAATGGAGAATGAAAAGTTTTTATTTTATTCTGGTCTTTCAACTTAAAGACTGATTTTTAGATATACCTTAAAATAGTTATGATATTATATATTTAAATTTTAGTGTGGAATTATTTTGTCAATTTTTATGATTCTTCTTTGCGGATATGTTACAAAAGTGACTTGTGAATATCTTTTGCGCACTGCAAATTTTACTCGGCAATCATCTTATGAGAGTATAGGTATTTTATATTTTTTATATTTTTTTAATTTTTTTAGTATATTTTTTAGAGTATTTTATATTTTATATATATATATTTTTTAATTTTTTATAATTACTTATAATGTTAGAAATAAATATTAAAAAATTTTAATTTAAAAATTTAAAGAAACAAAATATTACTAGATTCTGAGCAGGGATGTGAAGTAGCCTAAAGGACTCATGTTTTAAAAGTACATAAAATCACTATTTGTTTCTGATCTTTAGTGTTCAGGAGCTTTAAATAAGTTGAGAGAGTTATGCACTACTTAAACACTCAATCCAACATTTTTTTGTTAATTGAATGATCTTGTTTAGATGTATTTGTTTTATTTTTAGTTAAAAAAATATCTAATTACGTGTGCTCGTTAAACACTAAACTTATGAAACAGTATTAAATCATGTTTGAGCTCCAGAGATTTGTTATATGCATATTAAGACGAACTACAAGTTTATGTGCTGTTGAAAGAAACTAATGTTTGTTTGATTTCTTCCTGCAATAAAAGTTAGAATAGGATTAACTAATGATATCAATGATACTTTTGTACTGAGTTTTGATATTAATTATACTTTTGTACTGAGTTTTATGACTCAGTACAATCGGAAAGTGTCAGAAAATATTTCCAGATTTTCATAATTTCACTGTAGTTTAATCAATTTATTGATTAAACTACATTGTAAAAACTATAAAAATCAATTTATTGATTAAACTACATTGTAAAAATTATAAATATCAATTTATTGATTAAACTATATTGTGAAAATTATAAAAATCAATTTATTGATTAAACTATATTGTGAAAATTATAAAATCAATTTATTTTTATTTTAGATATTTTCTGAACAAGTTTTTTTACAAAAATAAAAAAACTTGTGAAGGAATATATCAGCATTCCTATGCAGAACCAAAAATTGTTTATGTACTGGCTATGTTTCTTCTTACAACGTGACTGTCATATAGCTCCTTAAAATTTCTCAATCCTGGAGCATCAATAATTTGCTCTGGCAAAGAGTTCCAGTGTTTTATTATACAGTTAGTGAAAAAATTTTGCCTCTGTTTGCAGTGCTTCACCAGTTGACATTTTATTTGCATAGCATGACCACGAGTACTACCAGCAGGTCCATCACAATGAAAGGAGGGAGGAGACATTGGTGGGTATTGCCAGTTAATGACATCAATCTGATATATTATTTTAATATGCTGTATCATATCACTTCTGATCCTTCTCTCAGTTAGGGTGGTAAGTTACCACCAGTTAGGGTGTTAAGTTACCACCAGTTAGGGTGGTAAGTTCTAGTTCTTTGAGTCTTTTTTTGTATGGAAATTTTGATATCAAGAAAATAACTTTTGTAGTTTTTCTTTGAATGTTTTCTAAAATCTTGATGTCTCTCTCTTAATATGGTGACCATGAATGAACTGCAAATTCTAAATGTGGTCTAATATATGTTATATAAAGCAATTTCCATAGATTTAAACCTCTATGTTGAAATATTTTTTTAAAAATTCCAAGTATTTGATTGGCCTTCATAGCAGCAGAATCTACTTGCATCTTAACTTTAAGGTTATCAGAGATAAGTACATCTAAATCTTGTTCAATATAGGTATCAGCTAATGTGACTTGTGTGTCATTGTCATCATACATATAGTATTTTTGATTTGATTTAGTCGATTCTTGACCAATATGCATGACCTTACATTTTTTAATATTAAACTTCATCTGCCAATTTCTTGACCATTCAACAGCTTTATTGATATCAGATTGTAGAAAAATCCACATCTGATGGTAAGCTGAATACCCCAATGATTTTGTTATCATCAGCATATATTTTTATATTGTGTGTCAAATTATCTGGTAGGTCATTAATATACAATACAAATAGTAGGGGACCGAGGACTGATCCCTGTGGGACACTGCTGACTACATCTTTTCAATCCAATGTATTTGGTCCTAATTTAACCCACTCTTACCTTTTATTTAGCCATGCTTTAATCCATGCAAGAATGACCATGAATATCATATGCATAAAGTTTAAGTAGTAGTCTTCTGTGAGGCACTGTATCGAAGGCTTTTTAAAGTCTGTAAAAGTGGTCAGGAACTTTACTGCATTGTATTTCAGTTCAATTTTTAAAATATGTTAGCTCATCTGATGGTTCCACAACAAAAAAAATATGAAAGAAACTACTAAAAGCACTGCAAATTAATTCGCCCTCAGTTATGATTGTTCCATCAGTATTTTTCAAAGCTTGTATAGAGTCTTTTGTACTTCTTTTTTTTTTTTGCACATAGGAATGGAGTATTTTTGGAATTAGTTTTGCTTTTTGATCAATGGTCTCTTCATATTCCAGGATTGCTTTCTTTATAACTTTTTTTACTGATATACTAGCTGTTTTATGCTCTAATTTTAATTTGGCATGAACAAATTGCCCAGCAGATTTATATTTGGCCTAAAAGTCTCGTTTTAGACGAATAGCAGCTTTTACATCAGTTGTCATCCACAGTTCATGAGCAAAAATTAGTTTAGATTTTGTTTTTGGTATATATTAAGTACACACTAAATTATATTCTTGAATAAAAATTTCATAGCAATTATTTGCTGATAAGCCAGCAAATAAGTTACTCCAGTTTACTGATTCAAAAAATCTTGAAGTTTTCTTAAAATCTGCTTTTTTCCAAGCAGGTTTTGGTTATTGGTGGATTGATCTGCATCAGTACTAGCAACAGCATATTCATATGTTATCATAAAGTGAGCACGACCTTGTGGTGTATGGCCAAGAGTTTCACCTGTTTTTAGTGCAAAAACACAGTCTGGTTAATCTGTGATGAGAAGGTCAAGGGTATTTTTGGCTCTTCTTCAAAAGAATTTCAAAATTTTGGAATGGTAACAAGATGCATAAAATGATTATTATGAAGGCAGCTAAGGAATTTTTTATCTGGGCGCTTATCACCTATAGATGTCTCCTCGATGTTGGCTATTGTTGCCGTTCCTCCACCAATGTCCACATCAATATATCTAATGTGACTATAATTAAAATCACCAAAAACTACTATACTTGAACAACCTAGACAGGATAACGATTGCTTTGCAATTGCAAGTGGTTCACATAACGCTAAACATAAAGCATTAACATTGCTACTTGGTGGTCTATAAATGCATCCAATTAATATTTTATCACATCCTATTTGTACTATTTTCCATAATTGTTCTTATTGTTCATATTGTTGAGTTGTATGTTATATACTTCCATCACATTGATAGATTCTTTTATATAAAAATAAATACCACCACCAGCATGAAAGCTTTTCCGATCTTGTCGAATCAGCTGATATCCACTTCTTGACCGATATGCATGACCTTACATTTTTTAATATTAAACTTCATCTGCCAATTTCTTGACCATTCAACAGCTTTATTGATATCAGATTGTAAAAAATCCACATATGATGGTGTTTCAGCAACTGCTATAATATGAGGCTCATTTTTTCCATGGATACATTATAAATTCGGCCAGCAAGTTCGTAAAGTTTGTTTTGAAGTGAATTTGCATTTGTGGACCAGATTCTTAAATTTGATAATTTTGGAGGTATGTTTTTACACTGTTTTGACTTAGATTGTTTAATTTGATTTTGCTTTTGCCTTCACTTCAGTAATAGCTTTATCAACTATTGATTGATTGGTAAATCGCAATTCTTTGGCTGACTCTGTAGCATTAATGGGTTTGACACGGTCAAGTCTTCGATGGATGACAAAACAAAAAGGCTTATCAAGAAGGCTGAGTATATTCAATTCGTCGTTCTTTTTCTCTCGGTATAGTTCGTTAAAGTTTGCTTGTTCTGATTCTGTGCGGTCCTATCTTGTGTATACATTCTTGTAAGCTGGCACTGTGTGATGACACACTTTTGATAGTATACTTATCCAGTCAGATGAATCTTTCAAAGTTACTTGAATTATGCTTATTTTACGATCATTATTATGATTAACTGAATTAACATTTTTAGGGCAGAAACAATTTACCTTGAAAATGATGTCTTTATCGATTCCAACAGCATTAAAAATTTAGCAATTACATTTTTATTTGCTATATTACCTTGGCAATTTTGAATATCAATTCCAGACACTATTACATTCGCTTCACAAATTTGATGCTCTTTTTGTTCAGCAGCCAATTTATTTTTTTTCACTTTCTTTCACGTCTGTTATTGGTTAATTTATTGCTGAATAGAGACACAAAACTAACTTTTTTATCTGATGACGTTTCTACTATTTTATCACATTTAGATTGAAGATCACTAATCAATTTAGCTTGCGAGTTAACTTTGTCTTTTAGATATATGATTTTGTCATGAAGTACTGTTAACTCTGCTTTCAATATATAGTCAAGTTTTTCTAATTTTGTATTCCCAGGATCAAAACCAACAAACTCATACTCGTCAGATAATGCCAATGCTGATTGTTTATTGACCTTTTATCCGGCATATCTTCAATACTTATGACGAGGAGGATTACCACACTAAATAACAGTGGATTATCTCCTGGTCGTGATTTTTTATAATTATTTTAACTAACCTTATTATACAGGGACTAAAGAGTTTCAGTATGTATTTTTTTCCGTTTATTGATTTAACTGCATTGTGAAAATTATTTTGAAGTGATTAGAATTTATAAAAACTTTTTTCAGCTTTTCATTTGTTTGGACCCATTGGAAAGTTTGCTACTGAATTTTGGTATTTTATTTTGATTTTTTTTTCTTTTTTTTTGTTTTAATTATTTCCTTATTTTTTATTAAAAGTATTCATTTGTTGATTCTGTTACTATAATTAAGTATAGCACATAAGATGAATAATATTTGTATTATCTTTCATTTTTATTGAGTATAATATCTAAAATTAATTTTTATAAAGTAAATGGAGTGCAATCAATTTTTTTAGCACAATTGGCTTGGTTTTAGGAATACTAATTTCTTATCAAATTGTAATTGGAGATCTTGCACCCTCTGTTGTGTATAACTTAGTTGGAATTCAGGTTTGATGTTTATAAATATATTTATTATAAATATATTTTACTTTAAGCTTATTTATACTCAACTTTTGCCATTAGAATTCTCCAAAATTACGTGCAATATTAATGGTGATATCAAATTTTGCCATGCTTCCCTTATGCATGATGAAACAAGTATCTAGTCTTTCTGCTTTCAATTTTGTTACTGTTGCATTCTACATTTTATTCATGTTTATTGTAAGTTATTGTAAATTTTAAAATTGTCATATATATATATATATATATATATATATATATATATATATATATATATATATATATATATATATATATATATATATATATATATATACATATATATATACATATATATATATATATATATATATATATATATATATATATATATATATATATATATATATACACACACACATATATATATGTATATATATATATATATATATATATATATATATATATATATATATATATATATATATATATATATATATATGTATGTATGTATATATATATATATATATATATATATATATATATATATATATATATATATATATATATATATATATATATATAGTGTTAAGATAAAAGAAATAATTCATTTTATAAAAAACCATGTTAAATTTTGAATGATAGCTATGTAAAAAAGGTTGTTACAACAATTTAAAGGACAAATGATTTTATATATATATATATATATATATATATATATATATATATATATATATATATATATATATATATATATATAGTGTTAAGATAAAAGAAATAATTCATTTTATAAAAAACCATGTTAAATTTTGAATGACAGCTATGTAAAAAAGGTTGTTACAACAATTTAAAGGACAAATGATTATATATATATATATATATATATATATATATATATATATATATATATATATATATATATATATATATATATATATATATATATATATATATATATATATATATATATATATATATATATATATATATATATATATATATATATATTATTAGTATTATTATTATTGTTATTATTATTATTATTATTATTATTATTATTATTATTATTATTATTATAATAATACAGTAGTGTCATTATTATAATTTAAAGTAGTAATATTATTTAGAAAAACAGCTTTTTTTGTTATATTTTCTCATTAAGTTAACTTTTTAAAATGAAGTTGCTTATAAGTATGTCAAGTTATACTACGATTATGAAAAATAAAAAAAAGCATATATAGGATTAATTACCCAAAGTTTTAAAAATGGAAATGATTGACTCAAAAGTGATTTGACAAGCTAAATTAACTTTTAAAACATTTTTTGTTTAAACAGCTTTTTCTGAGTGCTTATTTTTATAAAAACATTTTATAATCAATAGCTCATGGTGGGACAATAAATATTTACCAGAGAAAAAGTTAATTACACAAGCATATAATAGCGGTATGACTGTGATAAATTTCAATAGAAATGAATATTCCACATTCATCAGTTGGCTATACATTAAAAGTTTTTTTTATTATTTCCAAGCATTGCCAAATTCAAAATGGTCAAAATCAACAATTTTTCAACAAGATAATATTATTGTGAGATTTTGTTTCTGCAAAAAATCATAAGGTGCAACTGAAATTCTCTACAGTACATTTAAATTGGACAGGACAGCAATATTTGAAAATACTATAGAGTGATGAGTCAAAGCTTAATACATCTAGCTTTGATGGAATTAAATATGTTAGAGGTCTACTAGGTCACTGAAATGAAGTACCAAGTTCTCTCAGTGGAGCTGGTGGTGAATCAGTAATGGCTTGTTCATGTTTTATCCATGATGGAGAAGGTTTAATCTATCAAATTCAAATTGACAAAAATATGTATAAAAAGAATAACCAAAGAACAAAATGGCTGCCACATGCAAAGAACAAAATGTCTGCCACATGCAAAGAACAAAATGTCTTATGGTTTGACACGATAACAATCCGAAGCACACATCTATGTTAGTCAAAGAATTTTTGCAAAAAAGAAAGTCTGAGTCTTGTAATGGCCAGCACAATCTCCTGACCTGAACCCAATATCCAATCTTTGGGAGCCCATTAAGAGAAGAAATGGTAGTAAACCAACCAATCAACAGAATTTATTTGAGTTGATTAAACGCTCTTGGGAGGAAATACCAATTAATATTTTAATCAATTTGGTTGATTCAGTCTCGGTGTATGGGGAGATAACGCAATGCTACCATTGTGACAAAAGGTTTTTCAATCAAGTACTAGCACTGTCTACAAATTATAAACTGTATGTAATAGGGCAGGTCACTTTTGAATTTTTGAATTTATGTTTGGCAGGCCATTTTTCTAATGTTATTGACCATATGATAATGAGAAACAATTTTCTTTTATTTTGCATTTAATATTTAGTCAGGTTATTTTTAATTTCAAATATTAGTTTTATTACAAATAATTTGTTTTCCTAGTTTTTTGTCGATTTTTATACTATTATTGTCTTCAAACTTCTCTAAATCAAAAAGTCTAATAGATTTAATTAATTGGAAAACTTGAAAAAATCAAATCGGGAGGAGATCAGTGAACCGGTTCTTACTTGTTTGATAAAAGATAATATTATACAGTTTAATAATAATCCAATGATTGTATCAAACTTTCCTATTCGTGGCCAATCTATTGAAGGCATTATGAATAAGGTCACCAGGGCTTCAGTCTCGGTGTATGGGGAGATAAGTTCATAAAGGCAACAAGGCTCATTGAGAGCTGTTGCCTGTGAGCCAATCAAAGAAAGATCTGCTAAAAATCAAATTCAAATAAAATTCTCAAAAGAGATAAACTATAAGATGATCTTCACGCAAATTTATTTTGCATATTGAACTTCTCAAAAAAGATGAACTATAAGGTTAACTAAAGTAGTAGCAAAGTATTTTGCATAACTTTGCAAAAATGATATTATGATAAAACTAACATTTTCAAGATGAAAATTACTTGTCTAAACATGAAATGCAAAAAAAAAAAAAGAGAATCAGTTCTTAGTATCATATGGTCGAAGACATAAGAAAAATTATAGCTGAACCTAAATTCAAAAATTTCTTAAAAGTGACCCATTCTAATATGTAAACGAATGTAACATATATGTTAAATAACAGAAATCATCATAAAAAATGTTAAAAAATTATCATTTGTTGTGTCAATATTGTTCTTTTAGTCCAGTTACTTTTGAGTCAATCATTTGCATTCTTTTAATAAAGTTTTGAGTAATCACTTCCAAATTTGATTTTTTTTTTCTTTTTTCATAATTGTAGTATGATTTGAAATTTCATTTAAAAAAAATAACTTTTTCTTAAATGCTTGAAAAGTGGAAATAAAATTACTTTTTAAAGAATTCAGCTTAGTCACGCAGCACGTTACGCAGCGTCACATGCAAAAATAAAAAGAGAACAACAAAAATACTTCAAATGTTTTCCACACCGCAACACAAGCACACCTCAAGCAACACAAGCACACCTCAACATTATTTGTTCTTCTTGGAGATTATCTGCTTTTAATGCATACAAAAGTTAAAAAACAAAAAATTTAAAAAATTTTTTTTTTTTTTTAAAAGTTAATTTTTTTGTTTTGTGTTCTAAGGAACAAGAGCTTCAGTTACATATTTTTGATGACTTTTTAAATATCCTATAGTATATTAATATTGAATTTCATATTGCCGTTAATCATTTGTGCGTGCTTGGCAGCAATAAAAAAATTTAATGAAAACTTACTAGAAACTTAATAAAGTAAAAAATAAATTGGCTCGTTCTTGTTTTTTTTATAGAAGTTTGCAATTTTACAATAAGAAGTTATAAAGTTTCGATCATTAATTCATATTCTACCACTTTTATTTTCTACGATTTTTATTTTCTACTACTTACCAAAAATTATTGAAAGACAACAACAATATAAAACATAAGTATAGAAATGGTCGGTGTGTGGAATAGACTTACCAATGACCCATATTATATGAGTCATGGTAAGTTCATTATTCAACACATTTTTATTTCTGCAGGTTTATTAAATTTTTTATACTGATTGTAATTAATCAACATTTCAAGCGGGAATTCTAAATAATATTTAGAATATTTTAAATACTAAACATTGTTACAACTGCTATTGGTGCATTTTTTTAGAATCTAAAAGTTATTATTTTCTTGGTATTTAATTTTGAAGTCTCCTATTTCATTTTGAGAAAATATATTTCACGTTTTATATATTTCATGTTATAAAGTTTTTTTTAATTTATTTTTTATAAAGAGTTTAAAATGCTAAGTAAAATGGTTATCCTAACATTCCTATAAAATTGTATATATTTTTTGAAAGTTTTCTTTTCATAGTCAAAAAAAACTAAAAAATTATATATTTTAACTGAGCTTTTTTAATAATTTTTAAAATAAAGGTTTGGCTTTGATTTGGGTAAAAGAATTGGTTTGCCAGTTCTGATTCCATGAAACAGTTTACAAGTTTTAATATTGTGTGGTTTTATACTTTATAAGTTTTAATATTGTATGGTTTTATACTTTGCATTTAAAATCATATTTTTGCTGTGACTTTATTACTGAGTATTTTTTATTCAAATTTCAATAAATTTGCCACATTTGTGTGCAATGTTAAATTTAAAAACTTTTTGAAATATGAATATTTTATTTTAAATAAAATCAAAAATTAGTTTTATAGGTAACATAAAATGAAATAAAATAGATCTTAAAAAATGAAATATATCTTGTGATAAATTAAGATTTAAAAGATACAAGAACATTTCTACTCATTTTTGCTTTTCTTGAAGTTTATTATGTTATGTAAATCAACTTCTACATTTCTTTTCGTCATTTTACTAGAGCATTTTTCAGGTTCTCTCATGTCTTAAGTCTCATCTGTTTTTTCTTCTTCACTAATGTATCTATGGATAAACTCCTGCATCCTAACCACATTTCTTTTTGCATGATTGTTCACAACAATCAATGCTTTTGCATAACCTAAAAACTGGCGTAAGTATGATTGAGTGCGCCAATAGGATGGAGGAAGTGATAACCAAATGTAAGGATGGAGGAAGTGATAACCAAATGTAAGGATGGAGAAAGTGATAACCAAATGTAAGAATGGAGAAAGTAATAACCAAATGTAAGGATGGATATTTGAAAGATAAAATTGATTTTGCAATTAGAATTATCTGGAATGATAGAATCTACGAGTGAGAGAGGTATCAAAGTTGAGTCTAAGTACCAAAAGTGTTTTAACATTGAGTTAATGACTTTCTCTGCAGTTTTACTGGGCAAACATCTTTATAAACATTTAATGTAAATTTGTAATATCAAGATATGGTGCTTTATTAGGATTGTGGCTTTGCAAGTACCATGGTGCAAAAAACAACAAATTAGTTCAACAATTTGTTCAACTTGAGTTTTCACTTCTTCATCATTTATTAAAAAGTCTAGTTGTTTGGATAGCTGTAAATTAATAACTTTAACTTTAATAGTATAATAAAGTGCTAAACTAAAAAATCGGACATGGTGAACTGCACTAGGTCTTTCAATTTTCACAACTCCTGTTTTCAATAAATTATAACAAGTTCTGCTAGTTCTTTTCTGTCTTCTTAAAAAATGTTTTTCTTTTTAACATCGTTTTTGTAATATTTGAGTGCATATGTTGCTTCTTTCTTGACCACAGTTCCTGCCTTTAATAACCAATCAGACCATAATATGTTTTAAGGATTGTAATTAAACTCTAGATCTTTGAATTTGTTTCTTAGTTTAAAAAAAAAAAAGATTATCTGGTCCTATCTTTTTTTCAAGAGTGACATTTTTATGAAAATGGCATATTCTCATTTCTGTGGCATGGTGTCTACAAGCAAGATGGAGAATGTAGTTACCTAAAGTATTGCTTATTCTGTTCACAGTTCCTTTTATAATGCCAGTATTTGTTAATGTTGTGTTAAAGCACAATCCACCAACATGATTTAATATTGTAAACTTTAAGCAATTCCATTATTTCTTTATATTGATCATCCAAAGACTAGGGTAAAGAAGGCACATCCAACAAGTGCGATTCGCTATTGTCATTTACTAGTATTCGCATTTTAATTTTTTGCCGTCAATTGTTACAAAAATAGTTTTCCCATCAAAATGAACAATAAACAGAAATGTAGATAAATAGACTTTTTTTTAAATATCTTCTTTGACAATATTTGTGTATTTTTTAATTATTTTTTCATTCTTCTAATAGCAGTTAAGAAGCTTCATTTGGTGGCTTTCATATCTACTCCTGCAACCGCAGTTGTTACTCTCTGCAGAAGTTACCATAGTTAGCTAGATATTTTTAACAGTTGCCATTTAACCAACATATCCTGCATATATATTTTTAGGAATGAAATGCTATACTAAAAATAAAAAATGGTTTATTTTTTATTTTTATCCACTCACCTGGTTTAAAATCATAATCAGAAAAATTATTCAAACTTAGGTCAATGTTAGTTCTTCTTGTTTTTTGTCTTAACAACGTGTGCATAACATTGCATGATTGGATGATTAGATGTTAGATTTGATAATTGTAAATTATATCATGATTGGATATTTCTAAATTATATTATGATATATGTGGACGTTTCTCATTGCTTTTCTATGCTCCTTTATTTTCACTGATTTTATTTCATTTTTGAGTATAAATTGTAGATAAGCATGTAAAGCAGAAAAGAAAAAAGATATTTAACATTTTACATATAATACATATAATAACATATATTTATGAAGTAATTATGAAATATACAGTATAATTATAAGTATATATATTATCAATACCTTAAATAAAAATTAAACATGTTGGTGAGAATCAGCATAGTGTAGGTTAAAAGTAAAATTAAAAGTTTTGCTAAACCAATTTTTTATATGTTATCTATATGTTTCACTCTATATAGTTTGAGGGTAAAGTAACTCAATAGTACATACAGTGACTGCTTAAAGCAGCACTTAATTAAGATAAGACGCAAAACTATGAAAATTTTTTTTGTGAATTTATTGAGATTTTTTTTTTTCCAAATCTTGACCTTTTTTTTGTATATATATATATATATATGTATATATATATGCATATATATATATATATATATGTACATATGTATGCATATATATATGCATATATATGTATATATATATATGTATATGTATATATATATGCATATGTATATATATATGTATATATATATATATATATATATATATATATATATATATATATATATATATATATATATATATATATATATATATATATATATATATATATATATATATACTTTATGACTTTTTAATGAAAAGATTTTTTGGTATGCTTTATCAAACATGTTACTGAACTCATTTTGGGATAAAGTAGATCTTTGGAATTCATATGCGATTTTTCGATGTTTACCAATGATTGCCATGGCATTTTCATGCCAGACGTAAGTATTTAAAAAAGTTTATTATTATATATATTTTTAATAAAAAACATATTATTTTTTCAATAGAAAAATACTATGTTCTCTGTTTTTTGTTGTTTAGTCAAGTCTTAATGATACTTTCTGCTCTACCTGATCCAACTATGAAAGCAATGGTTGATGTCATTAATAGCGCCATTAATCTCTCAGCTACATTATACATCGGTGTATGTTTCTTTAGTATTTAATTTTTTATAAAAGTTCTTTTTGTTACTGCCCACTTAAGACATATATCAATATATTATATACATATCTATATTTATTATCCATAATAACTGTTTAAATATATTTATTATATAAAACAATTTCATGACAATAAACAATATTTGATGACTTTAAATTAAGAACTCTTGATTCATGGGGGCTTTAAAATAAGTGACAGCATAGTTTGTTCTACTTTTTATCTACAATTTGTTGTTGTTCAGTTTCTCACATCAAGTTAATAATACTAAGACCCAGCTGAGAGTGCACAAGACCCAGCTGAAGGTGTGTTCTGTTATACATGTACCTTTGACTTACTTTCAAGCTTCTTTATGCTATCTTTCTAACTGTTTATTTCTTATCAGCTTATTGTTACTTTGTTCTTATTCTGTGGTTGCAGGTTATTATGGTTTAGTTGGATTTGAGATAAATAACAAAGCTTTTTTTTTTTTTTTTAAATAAAAAAAGATTTGTAATTTTTAATGGATTTAAGATGTTAAGATTTAATAGTTGGTTATTTGCATTCTGCATTTTTTCATATTACATGATTATTAAATCCCTTCCAAATATAGTGCAGTTCAAAAACTTACAAGTAACTTATAAAATGTTCTTATTTAACAAACATATAATTAAACTAATAAAAATCTGTTTTAATATTTTAAGATATCTTTAAGATATAATAATTCAATTTACACAAACTTGAGTTCAGTCTATTTCAGTTTTCAATTATAAAACCAGTTCTTTCATTTTTGCAATATCTTTTAATTTTTCCAATAATTTTTTTAAAAAAATCTTAAATATAATATTGTTGCATCCCTTGTTCAACATACTATTCAATTTTTCTTTTCAACATCTTTGATTATTATTAAACAATATAAATTTTGAAAACATAAATAACTTTTTTTCATGAAATCATTTTATGAAAAAAAGTTATTTATGTTTTCAAGATTTATATAGATGCGCTTACAGAAATTTTTTTTAGATGTATACACTAAAGTATAACACCATTTGAACCCTGGTGCATATATTTGTAGTTGCACTTGATAAAAAGCATGGTCTTTTTCTAAGCAAAATTTATCCTGATAAACTTTTAAGAAGGCCCTATTTTGTTAGACTATGTGTCTATAAACACTTCAGTTTAAGTAATTTAGGTTTGTGGTGTTTGAGTAGACCAAACTGCAATTGTTCCTAAAATAGACCACAATAACTTGTGTAAAAGTCAGGATTGATATTATAATCATTAACTTATAAAGAAATAATAATAATACTTTATCTCTTAAGGTACATGAAGTTGTTCAGTAAACTTTGTTAAAGGAGGCTTCTACTACAGAGATAAAATCTAAATTAACTTAAATATATTATTGACTAAAGCACTTTTTATGTTTGAACTTATAAAAGTCTTATGAAGATTTTTAGAAAAAACTAAAAAGTGTAACATTTGATGTCTGTAATAAAAAAATTTCAAAAAACTCTTATAATGTAAATGTTACGCATAAATTGTAAAATTGTACATTTCTCCAAATGTGCAATTTTTTGTTTATTTCGTAAACTGGAAAGCTCTATTGAACAGATTGTGCTTTGCAGCTCATATAAACAAATAAAAAAACTGTAATTGAAGTAATTTTTAATTTCACAGAAATTTTGTACAGTAAAATTTATGGTTTAACTTTTTTTTTTTTTTTTTTTTTTTTAACATCTTCACTTCCAACAAGGCTGCAAGCAACCACTATAAGAGTTGGAAGTTACTGGAAGAGAAAAGACTAAATCTGTAGAGCAAGATAACGATTGACTGATGACTTAAAAGATTGCAAATTATATGAATCAGGAAAGCAAGATGAAGGAAGCGAATTCCAAAGAACTGATGTTCGAGGAAAAAAACTAGAAGAATAAGAGTTTTTGAAGCACTTAGGAACAGTCACAGAAAAAGGATGAGGCTTAATTGAATGGCGAGTAACACGAGAATGAATTTTAGTAGATGGCACAAGGGACGCTAGCTCTTTAGAGCAGTGCCCATTATAGTATTTGTAGAAAAGAGAAAGAGAAGCAACATTACGACGATGTGACAAAGGTTGGAGATTGGCTGCCAGAGCAGGTCCAACTATGTTTACAATTCGTTTTTGCACCTTGTCTAAAAGAGAAAGAGCATCATTAGAAGATCCGCCCCAGATGTGGCAACAGTATTCCATACAGGGACGGATTTGAGATTTATAGAGATAGAGAATAGAATCTGGAGTAAGAAAGTGTCGAGCTCGATAAAGAGATGCAACCTTAGCAGATGCTAATTTTGCAATGGATTTGATATACGGTTTAAAAGAAAGATCAGAAGTAAGAGTTAATCCTAGAAGATGAATGGTAGATGACTCATCTAGTACATTACCATTCATAAATATAGGAAGATCTAAATTATTACGATAACGATTGGCCGAATAAAGTTGAGTTTTATCTGAATTAAAGTTCACCAGCCACTGTGAGCCCCATGCTGTAGCAGAAGTGAGATCCTTTTCAAGCTCAGATACCCCCTCCAAGCAATCAGAGGGTGTAGGCTTCTTATCATGACAAGAGTAAATGGTAGTGTCGTCAGCGAATAATGCCACCTTAGATGTGAGAATATCTGGAAGATCGTTAATGTAAATTAAAAAGAGTATAGGGCCAAGGATTGAACCTTGAGGAACCCCTGAAGTTACAGGATGTGAAGAAGAGTGTTGTCCATCGAGGACAACTTTTATACTACGATTGGAAAGAAAGGACTCAATAATCTTAAAGACGTTACCAGCTACACCATAAGAAGAAAGCTTATGGAGAAGACCAGCATGCCAAACTTTATCAAAAGCTTTAGAAATGTCAAGTGCGATAGCCTTAACCTCTCCACCTCTATCTAATGCACGATAAAACCTATCAGTTATTACTGTTAGCACATCAGCTGTAGAACGAGAAGACCGAAATCCATATTGATGATCAGAAAGTAAGTTATTTGATTCAAGATGAGAGATTAAGTGTTTGTTGATTAAAGATTCAAAAACCTTGCTTATGACAGGAAGAAGACTAATGGGACGGTAGTTAGATGAATCAGATCGCTCTCCGGAATTTTTGAAAATAGGGATAACAGATGCTGCTTTCCAGCATGATGGAAAACAAGACTCTGATAAGCACTTGTTAAATAGTTTAGAAAGTATGGATGAAAGCTCCGGAGAACACCTCTGCAAGACTACAACAGGAATGTTGTCAGGACCACAAGCTGTTGAAGAGTCTAAGCAGGAAATTACTTTAGATACAGAAGCTGAAGTGATGCGAATGTCAAGCAAGGGATCAACCTGTTTGACGGCTATGTCAGGTAAAACGCAACTAGTGGAATCAAGAGATGATATTGATGAAAAGTTCTTAGCAAACAATTCAGCTTTGTCTTTAGGTGAGGTGACAAAGTCTGAACCATACAAGAGAGAAGGAATAACAGATTTGCCCTTATTATTGATACTGTTAAAGATTCTCCAGAAGTCTCGAGAGCCTAATTTTTGTGATGAGATACGAGATTTAATGACCTGGGAATAGCGAGCTTTGGCGTCAGACAAAACCTTTTTACAATGGTTTCTGGCGATAGTGAACAGATGTCTGTTTTCTGGAGAATTGTTTTGCTGATAGATATGGAAGTAACGGTTTCGATTAGAAATTGCTGCAGCGCAATGTGAGGAAAACCAAGGAGAAGAGTGAGGCTTGACCTGGAATCGTCGAGAGGGAATAAAAGATTCCATGCCAGCCTGAATCCACGAAGTTATGTAAGAAGCACATTTGTCAGCAGGAAGACGAAAGATTTCTACCCAAGGGCCATCACGAAGAAAATCACGGAAAGAGTCCCAGTCAGCTTTAAGGTAGTTGTATGTGGTACGATGATAGGGGGATTCTGATGAAGTAGAAGAATTTGATAATAGTTTTAGAGAGATCAAAACGTGATCAGAAGTACCTAAGGGTGAATGTGGAGAAATTGAGCACTGACTAGGATCCAAAACAAGACATAAGTCGAGTAGAGAAGGTAAATGATTAGGGTTGTCTGGAAAACGAGTTGGAAAGTTGACTATTTGAGTTAGAGATTGAGAAAGGCAAAAGTTGAGGGCCTTAACGCCAGCAGAGTCACTGACACTAGAGCCAAGCCAATCGGTGTGATGGGCATTAAAGTCACCAACAACGACAATATTGGCCGATGGATAAAGAGAGAGGGCTTGGTCAATTTGATCAGAAATAACATCAAGAATAGTGCAATCTTGGGATGAAGGAGAGCGATATAGAACAAAGAGAAAGGCGATAGAGTGAAGTTGTGCTAAACGAAAGCACATAAATGAATAGTCTGTAGATTCAAACCTAGTTTCACGACAAATGGGTGAGTTCTTACGAATGTAGATGCCCAGGCCAAGCATGTGATTATTGGAGTCTTTACGAATTAAAGGAAGATAACCATCAACACTAAGATCACAAGATGGGACAGCTGAACTCAAATTAGTCTCACAAAGAGCAAGTAGGTCTGGTGAACTTTGCAAGAGATAAGACTCAACAGAAGAAAAGTTACTTCGAAGACCACGAATATTAGTAAATGATAGGTTTAGAGAACTTGGTGATGACAATGGTTTTTTGTGTTTTTTAGTTTTAGGTACTTTAGTCATTTTAAATTTATAAAGAACTTGACTCAAGTATAGATAGTACTCAGTACACTATTTAACAACTAAGCAATAGCCTCATTACTATTAATAAACCCTAAGCCGTAACAAAGGGCTCCAAATGTGGCCTCTGCAATGCACACCAAAAGTACAAACAGGGACACCATCCATGCGCAACATGGCACTGTTAGTACTCTGATATTTTTCGGCTGTTGATGGAATCAGCCTCTCTGAGAGCTACCACAGAGTTCGGGAAACCTGACTACCAGCCGGCCTCAGAACCATAAAACTGAGTTTTAGAGCTGTACCCTCATTAGGAGATAATAGAATGAGTTGCCCAGTCATAAAAATAGAGACACAAGCAATACCCACGCATTGAGTCAAGAAGATCCAGCGTTCAACATCCTAAACTGGAAACAATGTATTAAAAATACATCTGCGCCAGCCTAATAGATGAGGAAGGGGTGCGAGGCTGGTCAACTGATTTAAAAAAATGTTTTAACTTAAAAGTTGTGCATTAGTTCACTGCTATTAATGTTGTCATATTTTGTTGTTGTTGTTGTTGTTGTTGTTATAATCCACACCCATAGTATGTTAATGGCTAAATAAAAATTAAAAAAGTGTTTTCTTTAAGGTGGGTTTGTTTGGATATCTTGCTTTTTATCCAGATTATATTTATGGTGACATCTTAGATAATTTTGCAGCATCTTTCATCTCTGATTTCATTAAACTTGGCAAGTTTTCTAATTTTTGTGTTGGTTTTTTTTTTTTTTTTCCAATTGTTTTGTTGTTTTTTTTCGATTGGGTCATTCTTGTTTTGATTTTGATCAAACTTATAAAAAAGGTTGATAAAAACACAAATCAAAAAATCAAAAAAGTTAATAAAACTTGATAAAAACACAAATCAAAAAATCTAAAATTTTATTAATTTTTTTTTGTTGTTGATTTGTTTCACCATAAAATATGGAAATTCACAATAATAAATTACAAACTTACATAAATAAGGTTAGGTGTCAATTGTTATAATTGAAAACTATTCAATAGAGTGACAGAATTTGAAAACTTGGTAAAACCAGGATTTGGGCAATTGCATTGGTTGTTTCTACTTAATTAAATTTTATAGTTATGCAGAAAATTTAAATTAAAATTTAAATACTAAAAGGACTAAAAATACTTTTTATTCTTTTTCAGTAAATTTATCTGGAATAAAATGTGAATACAGTATTCAATTGAATACTTTTGTTTTATGCTTTAACACCTTATTAATATTTGCTGTTTAAACTCTCCAGATATTTATATTCATCAGATATATCACTCAAATCCTTAGTCAAAATCTAAATGTTTAAAAAATGATCCTAAAATATTTTTACAAAATACTAATTTTATATTTATTTATACAAATATTTATATTCAATTATAATGTAAATATTTGCATAAATAATAATATTAAGTATAATAATTATGTTATTAACATGGCCTACTATAATTACACGGCTGGATATCTTGCTTTTCGGAGCGAAAATTTGAAGACTTTTTTAAGCGTCTTTTAAAATTGTTTGTTTAAATATTCATAATATGATTAATACATGTGCTGTAGTTTATTGTAAAACTGGATATAAAAAGAGAGAGAATCAATTTGATTTCATTCCTGAAAAGCATTCATATTTTGGATTTCAGGAAAATAATCTTGACTTATTTAAACAGTGAGTAGCATTTGTCCATCGAAAGTTATGGAAGCCCAGTAAAGAATTCGGCTATTTGTGCTAACATTTTGAAGAAAAATATTTAAAAATTGGCAAAAGACTAACATTAGTTTGGGATTTAAATCCTGTTCCAACTATTTATTGCTTAACTGAAAAAATACCACCATCAGTATATCAATTTACTGAATTCTAAACGTATATTCCCTGCTTTTCATTTTGATCAGTTTCATGATGTTATTAATGTACATGCTGGTGATATAAATAGAAGTTATTTCATGATGTATATAATAAAGACCAATTATTTCAGTCAAATTTAAAAAAAAGGTTTTAAATTATTTTATAAATCACTTCATCCAGGAGATAATAAACAAAGTGTACCACTTGCTCTTGCAATATTTGATTCTTCAACTTCTGCGTCTATTAAAAGTTATTTTTTAGATAGGACTGATGCCTCAAGTTTTTTAAAGTTGATAATTATATAGTGGACAATAAGTAACAGAAAGCAAATATATAATAACAATTTTTGTATTGGAAATGCAGCTGTTATGGGTGACATGAAACTTTTATTTTTGAGGAAACTAGCCAAATGGATTGAGAATTGGCAATTATCTCAAGTTTCAAACTCTCAAAAGTTTATATTAAGTAAACAAACATCAGAAGCGTGAAGGACCACTTTAAGATGCACAGCTTCACTTATTTATGATTTAATTCAAGAAGGATATCATTATTTTTTAGTATCACGCTTGCTAACTGATCCCCTAAAACTAATATTTTTAAAGTATCGTCAAATGAGTGGTGGCAGATTTTTAATTTGTTTGCGTGAGCTTGAGACATCTGAGTGCATATTAGCTTTGAAAACTTTACTTAAAGAGAAGGAAGCTGTTTGAAAAGAGAGTCATAATATATCTTTACTTAAATTATTTAATGATAAATTGCAAGAAATTTTACCAGATATTGAAGAATGCAGTTTAGATTCAGAGAGCTTTGAAGTTGTTACAGTTATAATTGCGGTAATTGTGGCCAATCATGCTATGCGATATATTTATGTTTTGAAAAGTTACCCTTCTAATTTTTCGCTGCGAAAAGCAAGATATCCGGCCGTGTAATTATAGTAGGCCATGGTTATTAATTATAAACTACTGTAATATGAACACATTAATTATAAATTACTGTAATAGAGTATAATATAAATATAATAACATAAATAGTTGAGTTGTATGTAAATAACAATACAAAATATTATTTAAAAATTGGCAACAAAAAATGTTTAAAAATTCTGGAGGTCATACACTTTTTTTAAACACACAGCATCGATTTAATCAAGACTTATTGAAGAAATAGATTTTTTTTATTCTCAATTTAGAAATTTAGTATTTTTGGCACTTTTTTAAGTAGAATGACTCAATCGTATACTACTTTGCACGAAAAATAAGTTCATGAATATATAACTTCTTTTATTTATTTATTTAGAAATTTTTTTTAACCTAATATATTATTTTTTTATGCTTTAATAATTAGGATTCTGGGTAACAGGAGTACTCAGTTTTCCACTTATTCTTTTCCCCGCTAGAACAGCAATCAACTCGATTTTATTTCACAAACAAAGAGAAGTAAGATATCTTTGAAATTTATTTTTTATTTTCTAATTGAATTTCTTTGTTTTATTACAATTCTTTTCGCTTTATTTTTTTTCCAAAATATTTTATTTACATTGATTATTTTAAAAGCATTGGTTTGGCTTATCGTAAACCAAACAATAAGTCATCTTTTTTCATATTTAGAACGAGCATCGTGATTCTATTTCGACTGCTGATGATTATATAGCTTCAGACATTTACACATACATTACTCTTGGATTAGTATTTGGTACACTTATTATTGGTATTTTAGTTCCAAATATTGAAGTAGTTCTTACGACAACAGGTGCCGTTATCGGAATATTTTTGTGCTATATTTTTCCGTCTGGTTTGTTTATTGTTGCTAGTGGTAATGAAAAAATGAAACGAGGAGCGCAGGTACATTTGATTTATACATATATTTCTAATTAAGATTATTTTAAATTATTTTAAGTTTTTTTAATTGTAGGTGATTTTATTGGTATCTGTTGCATCCATGATATTTAGTACACAAGCGATTATTACACCAGTTCATCCACTTAAAGCTAAGTCAGATGCAGTAAAATTAACTGAAACAACACCTCTTCGTAATGTAAATATTGAAATCGATAACATAGGAATTGATCGACATTTAAATACTTATATTGATTCAAATGAGCTCGCATTGGATTCGGAAAATGCTGTAAAGGTCAAAAAAGTTAATGTGCTGTTGAACGACCCACACGGTGATTTTTTACTTAAAGAAATCGAGAATAACGACTTATCGAATAATGAAAATAACATAGCTACTCGTGAAAATAATATGGTTAATCAGGAAAATAAAATATTGAATAATGAAATTAACGATGTTAATCGTGAAAATAACATCTTGAATAATGAAATTAACGTAGTTAATCGCGAAAATAACATAGTGAATAATGAAAATAGTCGCAACTTTAATTTGGATGTAGACAAAAACCAGAATGATTCTTTAATTTCATTGAATAAAAGATTTTTAAAGCAACTTTATGAAATGGATATTAATGATACATAAAATCACGCAATTATTTAATGCATTTTTTTGCCTTATTTTTACCCGAAGGTTTATTTATATATTGTAATAATGTTCTCCATTTTGAATGTCTTCACTAATTTTCAAATACACACACAAAATAAAGTTACTTTTTTAGCAACTTATGCGAAATAGTATTATGCAAAAAGAGCATTAAAAAACAAGAACGATTTTAACCGTTTAGCTTGTGATCCGCACAATAATAACTTCATTATAAAAAATTATGAGACGAAGGTGGTAAAAATTTAGCTATAAGAGGAATACATCTTTGAATGTCTAAGTATAAAAAAGGTATAAGTTGTCTTAAACAAGATAAAGTGGAAGTTTTAATTTCAAAAAATTAATTGTCATAAGATACATACGCGTTCCACCCATATGTTAGCAATATAAAACCTTTAGTAAAGTTTAAAACTGATTAATCTAATTTGTTTTTTGGTTTAAATTTATTCATAATAATTTCATAAATAATAATTAAATAAATTCTTAATAATTTCAGAAATAATAATTAAATAAATTCTTAATAATTTCATAAATAATAATTAAATAAATTCTTAATAATTTCAGAAATAATTAAATAAATTCTTAATAATTTCAGAAATAATTAAATAAATTCTTAATAATTTCAGAAATAATTAAATAAATTCTTAATAATTTCAGAAATAATTAAATAAATTCTTAATAATTTCAGAAATAATTAAATAAATTCTTAATAATTTCAGAAATAATTAAATAAATTTTTAATAATTTGAGAAATAATTAAATAAATTCTTAATAATTTCAGAAATAATTAAATAAATTCTTAATAATTTCAGAAATAATTAAATAAATTCTTAATAATTTCAGAAATAATTAAATAAATTCTTAATAATTTCAGAAATAATTAAATAAATTCTTAATAATTTCAGAAATAATTAAATAAATTCTTAATAATTTCAGAAATAATTAAATAAATTCTTAATAATTTCAGAAATAATTAAATAAATTCTTAAAAATTTGAGAAATAATTAAATAAATTCTTAATAATTTCAGAAATAATTAAATAAATTCTTAATAATTTCAGAAATAATTAAATAAATTCTTAATAATTTCAGAAATAATTAAATAAATTCTTAATAATTTCAGAAATAATTAAATAAATTCTTAATAATTTCAGAAATAATTAAATAAATTATAATGTGCTGTATTACACTCTTAACTGTTATGTTATGTAACTGTTAACTGCCAAAAAATTATAACTCTTTAAAGAATTTTAAAATCAAGTTAGTAATATATGTATATATATATATATATATATATATATATATATATATATATATATATATATATATATATATATATATATATATATATATATATATATATAGATATACATATATATATATATATATATATATATATATATATATATATATATATATATAAAAGTTGGAAATAATAAAAGTTGAAAATAAAATAACTAATGATACTAATGAAATTGCGACTGAATTTAATCTTTCCACTATAGGAGCAAATTTTTCAAAAAAAATCTCTTTAACAAATTATAAATTAACAGATAAATTTCAAACGACAAACTCCTTACATTTTACAAAGCTAACGCTTGAGGAACTCGATTCAGCTTTTAGATCATTAAAAAGAAGTAAATCAGTAAGTCCTGACGGTATAAATGGAAACATTGTGATAGATTCTAAGACGTCATGAAAGGTATACTTTACAAAATCTTTAAAACATTCAATAAACAATGTTCTTTCCCAGACTCTGTGAAAATAACAGAAGTAATTCCTATTTTTAATACACGAGATCCGACTACCATAATAAATTACAGACCTAATTCTGTTCTTCCAGTTTTTTAAAAAAGATTAGAAAGAATAATGTATGACAGAGTGTACACATACCTAATTACCAAAAACTCCTTTATAAAAATCAGTTCGGTTTAAAAAAAACAACTCAACCGAACATGCTATTCTACATTTTAAAAAGTTGTATTTAAGAATCTTTTAAAAATCAAAAATTTACATTTGGTGTTTTCATTGACATGACAAAAGTTTTTGATACGGTCGATCATAAAACTTTGCATAAAAAACTTGAATGTTATGGCATAGCAGGTAAAACTCTAATAGAGTTCAAAAGTTATCACTCTAACAGAAAGCAATTTATTTTTATCAAAGGCTCCCAACCTCAAACTTTAATGAACATAACATGGTGTCCCACAATTTTTCCATACTTGGACTACTTCTTTTCATTATATAAAGCATCGGACAAAACAAGTGCAATCAAATAATGCTAATTTAGTTTCTTTATATAAAAGTGCTGCATTTTTTTACAATTTAGAGAAATAACTATGTAACTGTTTAGAGACAACGTTCTTCAAGTTTTATTCATCACAAAGTTCATTATTTGTACACGAAAATTAATAAATTAATCAAAAGTATTAAAAAAAGTTGATTTCCTTCTGGACAAAACAAATGCAACTCCACAAAATGTTGACCAAGCTGTATTTTGCTATCAATACTTCGTGGCGAATCCTTTGTTGTGATCACAGCCTTGCATCTTCGAGGCATAGATTCGATCAGGTAATCAATGAAACTTTGTGGAATCGCTGGCCAGGTCTTTTGGATTCGTTCAAACAGTTGATCCTTATTACGAAAACCTTCACGATTAATTCTGCAGTTGACGATCTCCCACAGGTTCTCGATAGGGTTGAGATCCGGAGATTGAGGCGGCCAATCCATCACCGATAGGAGGTTGTCTTGAAACCACTGCTTGACTACTTTTGCAGTGTGTTTCGGATCGTTGTTTGGCTGAAAAACCCATTTTATTGGCATATTCCATTCAGCATGAGGTAACATAATATCTTTCAGGATATTTTTATACATAAAACGGTCCATTATTCCATCGTTTTGATGTATTGGACCTAGACCGTTAGCTGAAAAACACCCCCAGACCATTACATTGCCTCCACCATGCTTCACGGTCTTATGGCAGTAATGTAAATCGAGGCGTTTTCCGGCCGGTTGACGTACACAGCAAATGCCATCGCTCCCAATGATGTTGAACTTCGTTTCATCACTGAACAGGACAGTTCGCCATTTCTGCACATTCCAGTCAATATGAGATGTAGCAAACAGGAGTCTTTTCTTCTGGTTCTTTAGTAAAATAAGCTTTCTTTGCAGGGCGTCGAGAAAACAATCGGGCTTCAACAGCACGTCGTCTGATTGTTTGGTCCAATACAGACAGCTCTAATTGCTTTTGTATCTCAACTGATGATATCCAGGGATCCTTCTTGACGGATCTAACGATCATAGAATCCTCTCTCGATTATAGAATCCTCTCTTTGTTATCTGCTGTTAACTTCCCTGTAGAACGATATTTGGAACATGGTCTTGATACGGTCCATTTTTTTACGCGATATTTATCACAAAAACATTTTTGTGACATTCCAAGTACGTAATCGCCAATAATTTTCTTTCTTAGTTCCAATCCAAGACTGTCGGGAGCCATTTTTGTACTTGAAGTCATAAAAGTAATAAAAATAAATAATCACGCTTCTCAAGGCTTACCGTGTTACGTTTACCTTGTGATGATACAATAATTCTCTGTGGAACACAACGTCTTGGTTGAATGTGGACTGTATTGATGTAATAAAAAATTTCCGTGACGTTGACACGGACCACACTCAAGAAAATAAAACAAACTAAAAAAGTTGCACTTGTTTTGTCCGCTGCAAAATAGCACTTGTCAACGAAATTCTACCTGTGTGCTGTCACCTGTCAGCTGCTTGCTCATGTCATAGCATCCTATGACTCCAGACTCCTAAACTGTTTGCTGTGGTAGTATAGTTCGTTTCGTTAGGAACACTTTTTAGCATTTTTCAATGTTAGTTACAAATGTTTTGTCCAATACTGTATATAAACAATTTTAACAAAGTATCCAATTTAAAAACTATAATTTTTTCTGACGACGCAAACTTGTTTCAGTCAAATGAAAATATAAACATACTTTTTAACAATATGAACAGATAGCTTAAAAAAATTTCATTTTTGGTAAAAAAAAAATAGGCTTTAAATGTTAAAAAAAACAAAATGGATACTTTCCCATCCAAACAATAAAAAACAGATACTGTAAATATGCCTAATCTTTTTTTATGTCATCCTAAAAAGAGAAAAAGTGACAAAATTTTTAGGAGTTTTTGTTGAAGAAAATCTGTCTTGGAAATCACACATCGATAATATTTCTAATAAAGTTGCAAAAAGCATTGGAATTCTATACAAATTTAGAAGTATTTTAAACAAAAAGCAATTAACTCAATTATATTACTCTTTTATTCACTGTCATACCAATTATGCAAATATTATATGGAGAAAAACACATAAAACTAAACTTAAATTTCTTTATCGGCATTAGAAACACGCAGCTCGCATAATAAATTTAAAAAGTCGTTTTTCGAACTCTGAACCGCTTTTTAAAGAAATGGACGCCTTAAATTTTTATCAACTAAATGTATTTAATATTTTGTGTTTTACGTACAAATGTAAAAAACTTATGTCCCCCGATGTATTTGTAAACCTTTACAAAATTGAACCCCAAAACAAATATAACCTACGAAATAATAGCATTTTAGAAAAACCTTTTTGAAATAATAAACAAGCTCAATTTTGCATATCTTATCGTGGACCTTTTCTCTGGAATGAAATAGTACGGACTAATTTTGTTTTTTCATCTTGACCAATTCCTTTTTCAAACAATCTATTAAAAAGACCATTTTTTTAACAAAAAAATTACTGATTTTTTTTGATTTTTTAAAAATTATTTTCAGTTGCTATACTGCATATTGATTTATTATGTCTTATTCTGAAGTATGTAGAGTATTAAATTTATGATATATTTAGTGATTATATATTCTCAGTATATATTTATTTTATATAGTATATAGGTGATTTTATTGTAGAAGTATTGAATAGAATGAGTATATCAATAAAAATTAAAGAATGTGGGAACTTCAAAGAATGATTATTAGTTCTTGTCGCAGAGATTTTTAACTAAATTTTTTTATATTAAACTTATTTTGGGTGTATATGGTATATTTGGGTGTACTTGGAATAATCTAATGATTGAGTTTTTCTAAGCAAGTTATAAGAAGTTGATTCCAGTTAATATATGTTCACAGTTTTTAAGTAAAAAATTTTTCTTTTTCTTTTTTTACTTTTTAATTTAAATAAGAAAAAGAAGTGGCCAAGAAGGAGAAGGGATGCTATATTACATAGAAGGAAAAGACCATATAATACGACTACCTCAAAATGAATAAACGTAACATGAATAAATAAAAATTTATGATATCATTTATTGGTATTAAATTTAAAAACTAGGTCCTCCAAAAACATTAGAAACTTTTTTGTAAATTCTAAAAAAAAAAAAAAAAAATTAGTTTTTAGAGGCATATCCCAGCTTTCACAAAACGTTCAAAAAAGTTCAACGAACGTTGCGAACGTTCAAGAACGTTCTATGAACGTACTTGAACGTTTTGTGTTAGCTGAAATCCTTTAATTTTTAGGATCATCATGGAATATCTTTTCGGCATAGACTCGATGAGATTATCAATTTTTTCTAGTGTAATCTTTTTTTAAGTGGCTTCAGTCGCTTTAATTAGTTCACAGGCGTTTTTGAAAACCACTATCTCTTAGTCCTTTCTGTTATAGAGAAAGTTCAACTTGATTCTATAAATTTTTAACCAGATTAAGGTCAGAAAAATGATCTGACCACTTCATCACTTTAACTTGATTTGTTGCAATCCGATGTTTAACAAGTTTAGATGTGTATCTCGGGGCGATGTCTTGTTGAAATGCAAACCAATCCATAATGCCTTTTATACGAAGTATAGGTTAAACTTAACTAAGAACCAGAAACCATGCAACCCCAAACCATTGCAATTTTTCCACGAGTATGCAGTTTATCCTGTGTATTTAGGATCCAAGCGTTTATCTTTAGGTCTACATAACTTCAAAATACTATTAGGATCATTTAAAATATACTTCGATTCATCGTTTCAAAATATTGTTTTCAATTATTAATAGTCTGTGAGCATTTGTAAATTCAACTCTAGCTTTCCAATTCTTTAAAGAAATGAAAGGTTTTTTATAAAAGATTTCCTGTCAATTGTACCTTGTATAATGACTTTGTTACTATGCTACTCATTTGGCAAACAAGTTGCTTATGTATATATACAAAAATATATTTACACACAATTACATGCGTACATACATGTAAACATATACAATTATAAACAAAAATCTGGACTGACTTTTAAGGGCTACTCCCTTATAAGTCCAAATTTACTCCCTTATTTTTTAAGTCAGAGATTAAATCAAAAATCGTCTAATATTACTAATGTTAATTCTATGACTGTGATTAGTGTTAGAAAAACAGTTTGAATTTTAGGGTTTTTATTATTTAGTCATAAAAAAATTTAAAAAATAATAAAAACATTTATTAGTGTCGATAATAACGACTTCTTTTATTAGATTTTTAAAACCTAACAACAGAACCAATGCTGTGGCATTGATTCTGTTGTTAGGTTTTAAAAATCTAATAAAATTTTTGAGGACCAGTAATTTCAAGGGACTTTTTTGCAAATTTGATAAGTTTTTTTTTCTTTGTAAAATCCAGTAGATCCACTGGGTTTGATTAAGAAAAAAGCTCCTTAAAATAGCAAAAAAGTCCCCAAAATTTGCTGGTTTTCCCTCCTTTAAATAAGGAGGCGTAGGGTTGCTTAGCCACGGTTTTGAACAGAATAGTAACTGGTAAATAACGCTAATAGTAATAGAATAATAATCGGTTTTACCGATAAATTACGGATATCGGCACAAACCGAAAAAAACATCGAACGTTTTACGACTAATATTTTTGATTTGTTTTGATTCTGGTCTAAAGCTGTCCATGAGGTTAATATGGCGGAAGATAATGAGAAAACAGTAACTTTCAAAGATCTGGTAATGCTGTTTACATAGGATTTATTGTTTATATTTTTAGATAATTTTTGGGGTTTATTGTTAATATTTTTAGATGATTTTTCATAAGATTTGTAGTTACCTAAAATATGTCTAATTTTGTTACCAATTATACGAAACATCATCTTTTTAACTATTGACACACTATTCCTTATTATTTATTATTTCTATTATATATTCCTATTGTATATTTTATATATATATATATATATATATATATATATATATATATATATATATATATATATATATATATATTATTATATATATATATATTATATATATATATATATATTATACATACATAATATATATATATATATATATATATATATATATATATATATATATATATATATATATATATATATATATATATATATATATATATATGTATGTTACATATATATATATAGGTATGTTACAAAAAATATATATGTATGTTACACATATATATATAGGTATGTTACAAAAAAAATCAAAAAAGCGAGATATTAAATTCAAAGACATCATTAGAAGCACCTTTTAGTAACTAAAAAAAAAATACCTCACTTTAAGTTTTTCGATGTCATTTAAGGAAGTTATGAGTTTTTTAAACATAAAATTTTTATAGGGATTTTTGCAAAAAGTTGTGACCGTTAATTTGCAATTAACAACTTAAATTAATCATAACTGCAATAAAAATCATCCAATTTGATTAAATTTGGTATCAATTGAAAGCTAAGAAAAGTTACAAATATTTCTTGAGTAACAGTGATTGAAAAAGATATTCATGTTGGGTGGCGGTGATGGGGGCACATAGTGGGTACAGAGTGGGTGTTTAAGTATTCACACAACAAATTTAATTTTTATAAATTAGTTATTAATAAAGTTATCAAATCTAAAGAAAGCATCAACTGCCTTTTGCAAAATATCAATTGCCTCTGGGCAAAGATAAATGGGCGTACTTGAGGGTTAATATAAAGTGTGTGGGGAGGGAAGGCAAGTTGGGGGGGGGGGGTTCAAAATAATGTTTTTATATAAAACAAAGTAACAAATACTAAAAATTATAAACCGGTATCTAATAAAAGAAAAAAATAAATTTATCTAAAAATGCCTTTCTTGATCAAAAGATCAAAAAGCATTTCTTGATGCTTTTTGATCTTTTGTATATATTACAAAAATGGTTATAAAATAATCTCGAAGAAGTTTAAAAATATTAAAAAAAAAACAAATTAAAAACCAAAGTATTTAAACATATGCAAATAGCATATAATATGCCCAAATATAAATATAAAATATAAGTCACTATGAAAACAGCAATTAAAAAAAAAATCATCAATTCACTTTCAAGATAACATAAGGTCTCCGTATATTATATCGGCAGCAAGTTTGAATTTTGAAATGTCATAATCCACAGCATCCATTATCATACGTTTCATTATCTTTCCAGTATGCTACAACATACACTTGCTTACCATTCTTTAACTTCATTTTTTCAAGTTTACCATAATAAACTTCTCCCTGCATTTGAGAATTAAACCATATATGGCAAATGCTTCTACCAACAACTGTATCTGATAGCATATCTGAGAGGTCTGATAATTGATTAGACTCTAGTTCTGGAAATGCTATTAAAATATCTGAAAATTTAAGGTTTTGAATTTGAAGAGCCAATATTTTTCGGTTTTTATCCTCTTATTTTTGCTTCTTCAACTTATTTCTACAAATCAGTTCAAGCTTTATTTCATCAATATTTTTTTTATTCATCCCTCTCTTTGTTCTGGTTTTGTTTACTGCCCAGTAAACAATTTTCTCTTTATCATCTTCATCTTTTTTTTCAATATAATTAACTACATTATTTTTTATTGCTCTTAACTTTGATGACAAAAAACACAAAGTAGATTTGGGAGCACGATGTTTAGCAGCACTGAACATGCCCATGATTTCCTCTGCATCAATATTATGAAGCCTAGCTGTTTGTGTCTCTTTTATAAGTTGTAATGATAGATTTAAATTAAAGTATCTTTTATACTGTCTTTCTAAAACATCAATAATAGCTGATAAACAAAGTATAATAATTTGTTTAACTTCTTTGTCTTTCGTGCACACCGAAACTATTGTTTTAAAAACCTTATCGTTTTTAATACTATTTCCAAACAAATCTTTTGCATTAAATAACAACATAGGGTTGTTTTTCACATGATAAACATTTTTTAACAATTTTTTCACTACTTTTATTCCTTCAATATGACTTAAACCTCCTGTACCTGACTGATAAAATAATGCCATCCATGGTCCTGTTAAAGTCTTACCCAATAACCCTAAGACACACATTTCTTTTTTGGCTGTTTTGTTAATAAAGTCTATTTTCAAACTACTTTTAAGCCTTCCACATGAAACTACATCGCTGCTTAAAAATTTAGTTAAGGAATTATAGTGCTGTATAAATATACCACATATATGAAATAAAATATGCAATCTGTTTCCTCGGTAACGCGGAATTAGTCCTTTGGGTAATTTCATCTCATCTAAAAAGATTGTAAAACCTTTAGGATCTCCTTTGTCATTTTTGTATCGCATTTTATTCATTTGTAAAACTATATTTCCAGCCATGCAATCTTTGCCAAACAGCACTCCTTTATTTTTTTCAATTGATTTTAATGCAAATCTACATGCAGTGGCAATCGTCTCTAGAAGATGCACATGACAATTTAATTCATTTAAAACTTTACCCCATGAAGAATTTATTAGCTGAATAGCTGCATGATTAGCGGCAACACGGTCAGTCATAGAGTTCGAAATATTTTTAATTATATTTGTCCGACTCTCTTGATAGTCACAATTATGGAAATCACAATACAAAAATGCAAGTTCATCAATTGAAGATACAATATGAGTTTGATAATCATGTGCAGTCCCACCTGAAAACTGATCTATTGCAATAACATGACACTCTGTTTTGGTTGTAAAATGAACAGAGTTTATATGAATTCCTTCTTGGGTTGTTGCGTCAAACCCAAGAGTAAGATTGGGTGTAGAAATGGCAACTTCAGCAGCATGAAGGTTGCTGATTATACCTAACTCACGAACAATTTCTTCAACTGTGCTGCGTTGTGGAAAACTTTCTGCATTTACTAAACCAAAATGATTAAAAAATTTTTGCAATAAAATTGGAATGTTTTTTGTTGGTACCTGGTTAACAATGGCATCATATATCATCAATCGTAGTTGCCACGTATACGATTTTCTATCTTTTTTGAAAGGCAAATGATCAATGACAGAATCCTTCAACTTATCTAATTTTTCTAGCAAGTTTGCTACTTCAACTTCTAGAGTTTTTATCTGGTTATCTTTACTCAAAATGGTACTCAAATCATTTTGTTGTTCTTTTTTCTTAAGCTTGATTATTTTTATTTTCTTTTTAAATTCATTTTCACATAATATTAAATTTTTAGAAGAAATTTTAGCAAGTTTTTGCTTTAAATATCGAATGGTTAAATTTTTTCTTTTAATAGTTTGATTTAGTCTTTTTATAACATAAGGATCTGCTCTAACTCTGAGTTTTAGAACAGCTAGTTTTTCTTTATGCTTCGATTTCAATTTTGCATTAGTTTCATACATAAAGCTTAATCTCTTTTTCAACATTTCACTACCCAGAGTATCTTTACAAGGCATTTCTTTAATTGTTTCTTGAAAAATATCAGAAGTAAAAGATTTTCCTATTTCTCTTTCAACAGGAGCTAAATGTAAAGTAACCGATTCACATAAATTACTTTTTGTCATAGTTGATAGTTGATTACATTTAAAGATTTTTTTGCATAACTCTTCAAATTTTTTTCTATTAGATGACTGGAGATGGGCAAACAGTCTTTTGGATTTCATAACTAAACTATATATCTGGTTATAAGTGGGATAAAAACCAAACTTTTCATAAATTATTCTGGCAGTCTTTAAATTAGACTTGGATTGCTGTATATACAATAGCAAAACATGCCCATTTAAGCATTTATCTTCATGTTTATCAGTGGCTAATGTAAAATTGTCAATTAAATACTGTTTTGCAAGTCCAGTTATAACAAACGAAACATGAATTTTTTTCTTTGAGCTCATATTAACAGCAACCCTAAAATGAGTATTATTTACAAACCACAAATTATATTTATTTTGATATACCAATCTGATTGGAATAGCAAATTATAAGACAATTTTATCGTCACGTGACATTGGAATAAGCATTAAATTTTTTCAAAAAAAAAAAAAAGATTCTACAACCAAAACTGTGTAAGGTATTAATATATGATGGTAACGATAAAATTTCTTTAAATTTTCCAAATAAAAAGAAAAGTAGTTCGTCTTGTTGAGTTTTTAAAATTTATAAAGAAAAAACCCTTACTTCGAAGATAACTTTGTTTGCCTATTTGATCAACTTTTTTAGTTTGACTTTAGTGTTATATATATTTAAAAGCTTTATTATATTTTATACTAAAATAAAAAATTAAAATGTAAAGAATACAAAAAAAGTCTAAATTTCTTCTTAAACCATCAAAAGTCATATTAATATAAGTAAAACAGAAAATGGCCTTAACGCGTTGCGAATAAGTTAGAAACACTTTTTACGCATATTTCGGCTGACGTAAAACGAAAATTGTAACATACCTTATATATATATATATATATATATATATATATATATATATATATATATATATATATATATATATATATATATATATATATATATATATATATATATATATATATATTCTTGATCAAAACCAACATTAAAATGAGTGCAGTCTTGGGAAGGAACAATATAGAACTAAAAGAAAAAAATGCAAAAGCACTTAAAAGAGTAATTACAGGGTTCAAGTCTAATGTTTTGATAAATAAGTTAGTTGATATGTAAGTATATGCCCAGATGCCATGCCAAGCATGTGACAATGACGTTTCTTTGAAAATCAAAAGATAATAGCCATCAACTCTATGATCTGAAGATTAAT